AATTATTTTATTAAAATTACTCACTTTAATTGTACTTACTTAAAACAAATGAAGGTATTGATGTAAATCAGATAATATAGAAGTTAAATCAATACCTTATTTAAAAATTTGGCTGCTAAAATTGCTACTAATTCCATTCCATTTGATTCATACTTAAAAACTTATGATAAACTTATGGATGAAACTGATTTAAAACTGAGTGAGTTGAGAACTGCATTTAGCAGTCTCAAAAGTAAAAAAAGTGAAGGTTTTGATAAAATTAGTGTTGATGTTGTCAAATCAGTATTTAAAGTCATTGAACCTTCTTTATTTCACATTTTCAATCTCTCATTAAAGTCAGGTATTGTTCCTAATAAATTAAAAATTGCCCGTATAACACCAATTTTTAAATCTGGAGATAAGTCAAATATTTTAAATTACAGGCCTATATCAATCTTACCTTGTTTTTCAAAATTGCTAGAGAGAATAATGTATAACAGACTTTATAATCATCTAACTGAGAACGACATGTTGTATTGTAAACAATTTGGTTTTAAAAAAAAATTCAACTGAACACGCAGTAGTTGAACTTTCCAATCAAATATCTAATGCCTTAGATAATGACTGTTTTACATTAGGAGTTTTCATTGATCTGTCAAAAGCTTTTGATACCGTAAATCACTATATACTAATAAAAAAACTCGAAAACTACGGTGTAAAAAATAAAAACTTACTTTGGTTCAAAGATTATCTGACTAACAGAAAGCAATTTTTATACTATAATCAAAATAATACAATTCCACACTCCATAACTTGCGGGGTTCCTCAGGGTTCTATTTTAGGACCACTTTTATTTATATTGTACATAAACGACTTATACCTATCAACAAATCTTTTAGACCTAATTTTGTTTGCTGATGATTCAAATCTTTTTTGTTCTCACAGAGATATTAAATCACTTTTTAAAATAGTTAACGAACAGTTATGTAATGTTAGTGCATGGTTCGTAAGTAATAAACTTTCACTAAATGCGGAAAAAACAAAATATATGCTTTTCCATAAAGTAAATAAATCAGAAAATATTCCTCTTAAATTACCAGATCTTATTATTAATAAAACTTATATTAAAAGGGAATCTTACATAAACTTTTTAGGAGTAAAATTGGATGAAAATTTAAAATGGTGTTCACATATAAATAGCATTGAAAAAATAATCTCAAAAAATATTGCAATGATGTTTAGGGCTAAACCCTTTCTAAATATATCATCTCTGAAAAAATTATATTTCGCCTTTATTCACAGTTATTTGTCTTATTGTAATGTTGTGTGGGCTAGTACTAGCCATACAAAACTAAAGAAACTCTACAATAAACAAAAACATGCATGTAGAATAGTATTTGGAGCCGAAAGAAATGTTCCTTGCGAACCACTTCTAAGTGTGCTCGGTGCTTTAAATGTATATAAACTCAATTTACACCAAGTTTTATTGTTTATGTTTAAAACAAAAAAGGAATTGTCTCCTAAAATATTTCAATCTTATTTTAATAAAATTAACCATAGGTACTCAACAAAGTTTAGACATAAAATTTAATTTTTATAAATGTAATATGTCTATTTAAAATAGACATATTACATTTATAAAAATTGGCCGGAGCAAGAAGAAGACAATGACTGTCTTATCGCCGAGCCCCGTTTACAAATTGCCCATGTTTGTAAACAAATATAAATAAAATATACAAAAAAAACGTTAAAGAGTACATAACTTTTGTCAAATAATAAAATGACATTTATATTAAAATTTAAAAGTAAAGAAAGTTTTGTATACTAATACAAATATATTTGATACATATAACAAAATATATTTAATGATAATGGGAGCGTTTGTTTCTATTTTAAAATTTCCTTTTAAAAAAAATACTTAAAGTCTATTGAATTAAAATCTAATTGAAGTAAGATTCTTTTAGAAACTGCTTTAAATTTTTCTAAAGAGTAGTGTTCTTTATTAAAGTTTTTAATAAAATTTTTCCATAAAAAAGGTCCTCGATATTTAATTTGATAAGAACTTATTTTTAAATTTATTCTCGGAACAATAAAGTTGTCCTCTGAAAACTTTATTGGATACTTATGAGATATTTCGCTAAAATAAGATTGAAATATAAGTGGAGATATTCCATGTTTCATTTTAAACATGAAAAGTAATGTTTGGTAAATGTTTAGTTTATAAATGTTTAAGGCCTTGAGACGATTTAATAGTGGTTCGCAATAAACAGTTCTGTTTGCCCCAAATAAAATCCTAGAAGCATGCTTTTGTTTACTATAAAGTTTTTTGAGTTTTCCGTAATTCGTACTTCCCCATGCAATGTTGCAGTAAGAAAGATAGCTGTGAATAAATGAAAAATAAATTTTCATTAGAGCTTTTGCGTTTAAAAATTGTTTTGTTTTATAAAGTACGGAAATATTATAAGAGATTTTACTTTCAATAGATTGGATGTGAAACTTCCATGACAAATTTTCATCAAGAATTACGCCTAAAAAATTAACAGTAGATTCCCTTTTTACATCTGTTTTATTGAATAAAAGATTTGGCAGTTTAAGTGGAATTTTATCAACTTTATTTGGTTTGTGGAACAGGATGAATTTAGTTTTATCTACATTTAGTGAAAGGCGGTTACTTATAAACCATTCATTTACTTTAGATAATTCTTCATTAAAAATTTTAAAGAGAATTTTTATAACTGTGAGAATAAAACAGATTGGAATTGTCAGCAAACAATATAAGATATAATTTTTTAGATGCTAAAAATAAGTCGTTTATATGTATTAGAAACAATAATGGTCCTAAGATAGATCCTTGAGGAACCCCGCAATTTATAAGCATTTTTTTGGTTTCATTTGTTTCATAGGTTATGCATTGTTTTCTGTTAGTCAAGTAGTTTTTAAACCAAAGTAAGTTTAAGTTGTTTACTCCATAAAGTTTTAATTTTTTTATAAGGATTTCATGATTGACAGTGTCAAATGCTTTGGATAAATCAATGAAAACTCCCAAGGTAAAATAATCTTTATCAAAAGCATCCGATATATGGTTTACAAGCTCAATTACCGCGTGATCCGTAGAATGATTTTTTTTAAACCCAAATTGTTTGTTGTACAGAATATTATTTGATACTAGATGATTATAAAGCCTATTGTACATAATGCGTTCTAGCAATTTAGAGAAACAAGGTAATACAGAAATAGGTCTATAGTTTGAAACATTTGTTTTTTCACCTGACTTAAAAATCGGTGTGATTTTGGCTATTTTAAGTTTGTCTGGTACAATACCAGACGTTAATGAGAGATTAAAAATGTGAAACAATAAGGGTTCAATAATATCAAAGACTGATTTAACTACATTGACGCTAATTTTATCTATGCCTGCACTTTTGTTATTTTTCAGAGAGCAAAAGGCATTATGCAACTCACTTATATTTAAATTTAGTTCTGTCAAAACATTATTTGCTGTTTTGAGGTATGTTTCAAATTTTATGCTACTAGATGGAATTTTAGCCGCCAGATTTGGACCAATCTCAAGAAAAAAACTGTTTAGCTTTTCAGCTATAATTTCTTTATCATAAACAACTTTTTCATCAATTAACAGTTTTTGTGGCAAATTGTTTTTAATCGAAATATTTTTGCCAATTATTTCTTTTATTATATTCCAAGTTTTTTTTGTATTTCCATTACCTTTTTCCAATAGCTTTTCATAATAAGATTTTTTTGAAAATTTTTTGGTTTTTTCAAACAAATTTTTGTAGTTTTTGTATATTATTTCATTGTGATATGTTTTATGTCGTAGATATTTTTCATATAGTTTTTGTTTTTTCTTTGAAGATTTGATTAAACCTTTTGTCATCCACGGATTTAAAATAGACTTAGAATTTAAATTTTTTTCGATTAAAGGAAATGCCTTATTATATTGTTTACTAAAAAACGTGAGGAATAATTCATAAGAATTATTTGCATTTTGTGTTTCATACACTAAGTTCCAATCAACAGAATTTTTTAATAGATGGCGAAATTGTGCTAAGGAGTTTTCATTAATTTGACGTACCAATATTTTTGATTTTATGGAATTGCTTTTTAATGTTATGTTTTTAGTGGTTAGAAAGATAGGAAAATGATCACTTATGTCGGTTTTAATTATGCCTGTTCTTATGCAGGATTTGTGAAAATTGTTTGTTATTAAGTTGTCGACTAATGTTGAAGATGTCTTTGTTATTCTTGTTGCCTTATTTATTGTTGGAATGAAATTATATTGCAAAATGGTGTCAATAAAGCATTTAGCATCATTTTTTGATGCATAATTCAAAATGTTTATGTTAAAATCTCCAACTAAGTATACATGTTTCCGATTTTTACTGGTTTGGGTTAGAAAATTTTTAATGTGAGCTTTAAAATTTTTTAAGTTTCCAGCTGGTTGTCTATAAATAGAGTTTACGAAAATGTTTTTATCCTTTTTATTTATTATTTCAATGCATAACGGACTCACAATCTGTTTCAATCACGCAAAGATCATTACGGTGAATAAAATTTAATGAGTTGTGAATAAAAATACTCACCCCACCACAAGCATTGATGAACTGATGCGTAATTGGCTAATTCAAAACGTGCGTATTTTTCATTGTTTTTAAGCCACGTTTCTGTAAGGCAGATAATTTTAAAATCTTGTTTGAGGTTATGCAATAAAATTTTAAAGTTTTCAAAGTTTTTACTCATACTCCGAATGTTCAGAGTTAAAATTGAGAAAGCATTATTGTTCTGAGAAAGAAAATGAGTAGATTCAGAAATTGAAAAATACTCAGTTTCAAAGCTTTTTTCAAAAAAAAAATTTTCATTATCATTATCACTAAGCTTTAGATCTTCGTAGTTAAATTTTGTAGAAAAGTTATCCTCCATTTTAAAAACTTAAAATTTTAAATAAAATAAAGAAAGAATAAGGTAATATATATACATGAATAAAAAAGAGTTAAAATATAACAAACCTAATTCTTTTTTCGATTGGAAGCCCAATCACGTATGATCAACCGTACGATATAAAAGCGTATTTCCCTGCTGCTCGTTCTACTTTCATCTTTTCTTTTAAAGCTCTTCTTATTTGTGTGGTCTTGTTCCAAAACATAAATCAAAATTAACTTCCTATTCAATTAAATACCGGGGACCTTATCTGTGGAAGAAATTTCCAGATATTGTTAACAAAAAGCAGACTACATTAGAGCAATTTAAGGATGAATCAAAACGATTATTATTGTTCATGGATCTCAATCCGACTTTAAATGTTTATTTTAAAGTAAACACAATAAAAAAAAAAAAAAAAACAGATTCAATTATATCAATGATATATGATAATATGAATGAGAAAAGAAAGAAAAAGGAAAAAAAGAAAAAAAAAAAAAAAAAAAAAAATAGGAAATCCAAGTGATGATGTCACAAGTGATGATGTCATAAGTGATGATGTTACATATTCATTTAGTGTTAATTATGAGATTTTATTTTTTCAATTTCTTTTATATTCAGGAATTTTTTTTTTTTTTTTTTTTTATATTAACTTATTTCTTAAACATTTTAGCAACTGTTAAGCATCTTAACGCTTCTTAATTAATTCTTATTTTTTATTTTTTTTTATTATATTAGTTATTTTCTATTTCATTTCTAATTGTTTCTTTTATATATATATTTGTATGTTACGGTTATGTAGAATTTTTAATGGGGCTCGGCGATAAGGCGAAATGTGCCTTCTTCTTGCTACAGCCATCAATTTATATAAATGTATATGCAATGTAAACATTTTTTAACGGCGAAATAAATTACACTAAAAAAAAAAAAAAAAAAAAAAAAAAAATCCCGTTTCTGCATATATTTACCCAGCGGGCACATACGTCCGCAGGATGTCTATAATATATTCCATGGACGTCATATGTCTGTAGGACGTCCTCAAGACATGAGACGAACGTTCTATGCGCGCCGAGTAGGCTCTTTTTAAAACAAAGAATTTTTCCTGATAAACTTAAAGTTGCAAAGATAATACCTATACTAAAATCAGGAGATTATACTAGTGTCTCCAATTGCAAACATCCATACTATCATGCTTTTCAAAATTATTAGAACAAATTGTGCATTAAAGGTTATATTCCTTTTTAGATGCAAAAGATATTTTTTATAATAAGCATTTTGTGTTTGAGAAGAGACACTGAACTGACCAAGCCATTGTTCTTCTTTTTCATTTGATAAAAATAAACATTAGGTGTATTTCTTGATATCAGTAAGGCTTTTGACAATGTCGATCATTACATTTTATTAACAAAATTAGAAAGTTTTGGTATTAAACATATAAATATTGCGTGGATTAAAAACTATTTGTCAAATTGAAAGCAATACATTTCTTATGATGAAAGTAAAACAACCAATATGAACATAACATATGGGATTCCTCAGGGATCTATATTGGGACCACTCCTATTTCTCATTTAAATTAGTTATTTAAGCAAAACCTGTACTGAACGATATACAACTTTATTTGCAGATGATACAAATCTATTTTATGCACATAATGATGTAAATATTCTATTAAAGCCAGTAAACAAAGAACTAATAAGTCTTACTGAATGGTTTAATGCAAATTATCACTAAAAGTAACCCAAAAGAAATCCACTTTTTTTCCATTGTTTCCATATTTGAAATGAAATTCCAAAACTTACAAAACTTTGTATTGCCAATCAAGACATGAAAAGAGAAATCATTTTGAAGTTTCTCGGCGTACTTCTTGACGAATATGAAGCGTGGAGAAATCGCTTGCATTATCTCAAAAATAAAATTCTAAAGAAAAAAAAGTCTTTTAGAAAAAAGTTGGGGGTCTATGCCCTCTTCCTCCCCCCCCCCTCCCTCTGTGTCATCAGCTCTGACATTCAACATAAAAATTGTTTTGTGGCGACTGAATTTTCAATTTCTATTAGAGGACCAAAATTGTGGAATAAAATATTAACTTATAAACTTAAAACCATTTCAACGCTTAATGAATTTAAGATCATATTGGGGCAATAATTGGAGGCTGGGAACGAAAAAGCCTTATAGGGCTTTTTCATAAAGTCATGAAGCCCGTAGGGGGGGGGGGGGGGAGCAATAAAGTCAAAGGACTTTTTTGTTCCCAGCCTCCAGCTATCGCAATTTTATGCATAGCATAATTATTTGACATGTGTATAAACAAACAAATGTTTGGAGTAATGTCAAACACCAAAAAATCCTGTAACAGTACTCTCTTCCGTTTCTCCCAAAAACAGTATGATATCTGATATGCGTTATTTTTTTAAAACCTCACTTTGAGACTATCTTCTGCTCAATCAAGTATCCAAAAGTCTTTGTAGGCTTTTTGAATGAGAACAACTTTATATTTTATTTAATATATGTATACTACTATTCTTGAAACAATAATACACTGATTAAGGTGGTAGGACTAGAAAAAACCTAATTCTTTTAAAAACTATTGTTATTTCCCAAGAACTTCTAAAAAAGTTTGAATTTATGTTAAAAAATCATTTGACAATTTTTTTTTATTAATTTGCCTCGCCTACCCAAACTTATATAAAAAAATAAACCAAAAAATAAGGAAATTTTAAAACACAATATCACAAAATATAATCAACAAATCACAATGAATTTTTGTAGGTTTGTTCTTCAACAATAGATAATTCATTTGAACTAAAATGACATTGAATCTTAATAGAATAAAAAATATACATAATTTATTATGTATGCGAAAAAAAAAAATACCAAGTTGAGAATAAAAAACAAATAATAAGCAATAAATACATATAATTATTATAAGATTTTAGTTCAAATGAACTTTATATGTATACTGAAGATACTGTGAAAATTTCAAGTATATTGAATTTTTCTAACTTAAGATATTTGGTTTTGAAGTTACAAAATCTTGCAAAAAATCAAAGTTCAATAAAACGCAAAATAAAGTTGTAATATGTTTAAAAATAGATATACAATATGTTTAAAACCCTCCTGATACATAAAATGATGTTTTATTTTGACTTTGTTTATCAGAGTATCTTTTTTTTATTGCTCTGAGACTTTTTCTTCTATTTTTTACTTTTTCACTTGACTTGATCTCCATGCTCTTTACACGTGAAACATTTTGTTCATAAGATTTAGAATTTGTAACAACGCCTAATAGTCCAAATGAAAGTAAAACATTTTTAACACCTTCAGTACCATCATTGTAGTGTAAAATTGCTGAATTAATTCTCATTTCAAAAGTTTGTTTACAAACAAATATGTTTTTAGGGCAACGAGACCAAACCAATGCATTAAGACTTTCATTTGCATTTTGGGTTTGCCCATGTACACATTTTAACAATAATTCTTCATTTGATAGATCTTTAAACACTGGTTTCAAAAGGTTACTAATCCATAATGGTAAATTAATATGTTCTTTATAATTTGAAGTATTATGTAATTTGTCATATTGATATTGACACCAACTAGTTTCAGTTCTTGGGCAAAAGCAGTGGCGAAACTCTTGATTTGAATATCCAGTACAGTGGAACAAAATAGCCCATATTGCCTTTTTCATGGCATAAATGTTATTTGTATTACTTCTTATAGCTAAACCATAAAAATTTTGCATACTATTAATCACATTTTCTGTGAGTTTATTTTTTCCACCGAGTGGAGTTGGCTTTCCTTTGTAATTTTTGATTAAATTTCGTAACCGTGTACCCATTCTTTTTTGTACATGTGCAACACACTCTAACTTTTCAGGAATTATTTTATAGTCTTTATAGGGATCAGACTTTATTACTTCTTTAAAAGATGAGCTATCTCTATCTCCAAGATAATGAGTATAAATAATATTATTATTTTTAATTGAACGTGCAAATATTTTTACAGCACCAGCTGCTTCCATTGACCCAGAAGATTGTTTATGATTTATATGACAGGCATGTTGAGCTTTCCAAGCATTGTATCGTGGTGAAGCTTTTTTATTTTTCCATATTCTACAGCCCATGCAAAATTTTGACATTGCTTCATAATCAACGCACTTATAACCCACAATTGCACTTACAAATCCATTAAGGGAGGTATGGCCGCGTCGTTGCCATGCACCATCAATCTTAACATGCTTCATTATTGGTTTATTATCATCAGTATAGTTATCTTTCATTTCATTTGTGGCACGTTTCATACTTTCTTTAGCAGTTTTATCATAAGCTTTTGATATTTCTATATTTAGTTTTCTAAATGGAGTAGCTGTCAAACAGTGTAAATTCATACAGCGACTAAAGTTTTTCATAGATTGATACCCTTTACCTATTTCTCTAAATCCAATTATCATTCTTGTGTTTGCTTCAAATGTTTTCCTACCCTGGGCTGTATTTCCATTAAATTTACTAATCTGCTTAGAAGAATACAAAACCTTTTTCCATTCACATAAACTACACTTGATTTCAAGGTGATGGGCAAAACCCATGAGCTTAGAAAGATTATCAACAATGGTAACAAGGCTGTAACAATCTGGACATCTAACATCTTCCACGATATCACTTAAAATTGAAAAATTGATAAGTATGAAATAATCTTTATTCACTTTGTCATTTACAACTTGATTTCTATTTATCAGTGGCAGTAATTTTCTTGCACTTGCACAACTTGAAGCTGGAACAATATTCAGATTGCTTTTCTGTTGTCTTTCTGCTGCAATTGTATAACGATTTCCATGAAAAAATCTTTTCTTTTTTCGTCCAAAGTTTTGCTTATTAGATACTTTAATGTTATTTCTTGAAGTACTCATTATTTATAATACTTGAGGTGAAATCTGAAAAGGTTTATAACATCAAAATTAAACAGCATGCACTAAAGTTGCTTCAAAAAACTGCCAAAATTTACAATGTTCCTTAAGTTAATGACCTTTAACAATTGACGTTTATCAGTGTATGATATAAATCTTGTTGTTCTTTATGGAAAGGTATCAAGGTAAAAAAACTGTTTACCGTTGCTAAGGGCGTAACTACGGACTAGTCGTTGTATGTAGTTACATAAAAGCTTTAAAAACTAAATAAGAAATAATTTTTTTTTTAAAATTTTTTCAATACATGAAAGCTAAGTAATTTTCCTTCGAAAATAAAAAATAAAAAAAAAAACGATTTTTTAAAAATTTTTACATATTTTTTCTAGCTCTACCACCTTAAAGGTTTAATTTATAAAGTAAACAAAAATAAAGAAAACACTACATTATTTTTCTCTGAATCTTACAAAACAATAGCTAAACGCTGAGTTTGTTAAGATTTCACCAAGCACTGCCACGCTTTGAAAAATTACCGTTCTCCGTTCGAGATATTTATAAGAAAAGCTCCACCCAAACTCAATCTTTTTCAGAGTATAAGTTACTCAATTGATTTTATAAATTTATGCATGTATATACATTATAGTAAAATACAGCTAACGCTCGTTTATATTTATTGAGAAAGGCCTTAAACGCAAAATTTTCCGCATCTACTTTTGAAGTTTGTCCTTTTTATATTTGCCAAAAATAAGACAAAACTATGACAAATACGGATTTGTCAAAATCCGTCGTATATATTAACCAATTCTAAAAAGTGATGTGTTTTGGTTAAACGAGACATTAGTACACGTATCATTTAAGTGGCACTATATTATTTTGATTTAGCGAGCGGTCTATCCCAAGTTATCTTAATGATACGTTGCTAAATAATAATCTAAATGGAATATTGTAGTAGGAAAATGATTTTAATTTTGTCATGTTTAGTTATTTTTTCAATTTTTAATGTTCGTGCCGATCTTGAAATATCAAATGTTGACCGTTCTATTGATCTAAGTAGTCAACTGGCCAAAGTGAATTCTCAAATTACGCTTCAGAATAAAGGAAACAAAGCAGTTACCTCCTTTCTTATTTCTATAGAAGAGGACCAATTTCCTTTACTTTCTTACTTAGAAGTTACAGTAAGTCAAGTTACTTGCAGTTTAAACATGTTTCTCATGTGAATATCCGAGTTGTTCACAAGCCAAATCAATTAACTCAATAAACTGATGACAACAAAACATGTTAAAATACTCTAAATTGCTCCTTTTTTCCTTTGAAAAATGATATTCAAATATAAATTTTAATATTCGTAAGCTTATATAAAGCAATAAATTAATAAACACATTTAAAGAAAATGAATTACTATTTATAATAATAAAACCAGTTTTTCTATAATATTAGAAAAATTAACAGTTTATATACAAGTTAAAAAATTATATTAATAAAGAGTATTCTTAATAAAGTTTATAAGTCAATTAATTGATTTTTCTTATTAACAGCTCATATTATGGAAATGCAAGTATAAGATTTATTTTTTTTTGATTATTTTTAGATTTTAAGTTAATATTTATATTTTGCTTGCAACTTTTATATTATTTCTGTTATGATTTTTGAGTCATTAAGGCTCTTGCTTTACATTAAAAAAGAAATTAATTTTAATACAAATATGTTCTCTAACAAGGACGCAAGAAAATTTTAATCAACCTGATGATTCATATTTTCCCCAGATTTTTTAATATATTATTATGATAAATAGTGTTATGGTCTTTGTAAAGTGTTCTGGAATCTAACAGACCTCAAAAATTTGTGAGTTTGTTACATAAGTTTTTAAAAACTGTTCTAAAATAATTTTCAAACTAGAAGAATATACACCAATAGACAACTAGTTATAAACATGCACATATAGACTATTAATTATATTGCCTTAATAATTAATAGTCTATATTGTATATAAACATTATTTCAGGTTAAAACTAAACCCTTAATGAATTATATGGGATAAATCCAGATATTTGAATGTTTAAAAAAATAAAATTTAAAACATTTAAATATATAAGGTAACGCAGGGTTACTTTGACATGAGGGTAGCATAGACGTGTATTAGATTAAATGTTTACACCAGTCACCCATTGATCATTGTTTAAATTAATTTAACAGATGTTGTAGCCAGATGTTAAATGAACAAATATAACTATTTTTATTCACATAATAGTAAGTGTAAATAACAATAATATGGAAGGCATAAGTTAAACTAATTTCTTTCTTTTTTTTTTGTTACTGAAAAACTTTAGTCAAAAGATAAGTAAAACCATTCATAATATCATTTTTAAATGTGTTTTTATGATGTTGTTTCTAAATACTAAGCATTTAAAAAAATTTTGTAGCATTTTTTAACGCATATTTCAGTTTTGGGGTAACATTGATAGGAATGTTTAAGTCAACCGATGGGCTGAGAATCAAGCAAAAGTTAGCAAAATGTCTTACGTCTGATGAATCTTTTGCAATTACATGAAATGAAATCAAACAAAGCAAACCCTAAATTAAAAGAGTAATTCAAAAAATATATACCAATACATTGAATGTCAATAGATCTAAAAACTGACAGTTGTATAATGTTAAAATCCACTCCTGAATATGTTGCATAATATTGGTAAGAGCAAAACATCAAAACCTGAAAATGTAAAAATTTGTATTGTTATTTCTGAAATTAAATCAAACACTAAGAAATTTGAAAAATTTTGACAGTTCTTTGAGAAAAAATTGAATTAACATACTTTTTTATATTTTCGAGTAGACACTATCAGAAATGAAGCTAATTGATATCTTTCAAAAAATAATATAACATTACATTTTTCATTGCAATTTTAATGCTGCTTATTTTCAAAACAAAAATGTAGGTTAGTGCTAATAAATATTTAAAATGTTTTCTCTATTTTGGTTATTCCAATGTTGTTACCCCTCATTATAACCCCTCATGTAACTTTAACATTTACAACATAAAACATACTACTGTCAATGTTACCCCATATACTGCTATAACCTTTTTTTGATGATTTTAGAAAGTAAAGAATAGAAAGTAAAGTTTAGAAAGTAAAGATAGAAAGTAAAGAATATCAAAATAATCTATCAATATTCAAAAAGTATATCCTAACCCCTAAAAATACTGCTCTCAACTTGTTTCTTTGTGCAGCAGCCTTTTTTTTTAAAAAAAATTTATCTTTGGGCACCTAGCTTTGCTTTTTGAATATGCAATTATGATATACTAAAGTACATATAGATATACATATAGTTAGCAAGGTAGATAATCTGAGCAAGGTAACCATCTGATGGTTACTTTAGTATGAAAATATCATAATTACTTTTTTGTACTAACTAAAAATATAAATTATCTTACATTTATTTACATTATTTACATTTATCAATATTTTTAAAAAGCTAATTTTTAAACTAAAAATTTTCAACATATTAAATTAAGTCTTGTAAATTTACTTTTATTATCTTAAAAAAAAGTTATTTTTATTATCAAGAAAAAAAATTAAAATTTTTTTTCTATTATTGTTTTATGTCTTCAAGTATAAAGTGATCACCATGTGTACTGCTGATTTTTTTTTAATTTATTTTTAATTTTTGTTTTTGGAATTTGACAACCTAACATTAGTAAAGGAACGGGGTTGATATTTGACCAGGGTCGGTTTGATAAAATATAGCTGGGGCCAAGTTTGTGAGCGGGGCTGAATACACATTTATGCATCCTAAAGTACAAATTTATGTCATATTTTGTATATATATGCATTTGTAAACATGATCAACATGATTATTATCATCATTATCATCATCATCATCATCTCCATCATCTTAATTATCATCATTATTATTGTCATCATGATTATCATCATCATTATTGTCATCATCATCATTATCATCATCAGTATTAGCAGGCTTTAACCTTCCTCTTTTATGCTGTTTCTCTATTTATGGCCAATGCTCAAACAAGCTATCATCTCTATTAGAATAAACCAAAACTTATTCTTGCTTGGCTTCTTATTCAACAAGTTGCATCTTTTTACTGTATCTGTCCCTCTTAAAATACACATAAAAATATGCCACTATCTTATGTAAAATGGCTCTATTTGCTGATGAGCTTTAAGCTTTAAGCTCCTGTCTTGACAAAAAGGCTTTTCTTTTCAATCACTTAGAACAGGCAGCCAATCTTGGATCTCACTTCTGTAACAGATCAGAGCTCACAGTGGCTAGTGAGTTTTAACTCCAAAAAAACTCAGTTATTTACTGCAAACAACTATCGCTATACTGTTGACATTCCTATAATAATGAATGAAAACCATATATACAATCAATTTTTATTTTAGCATCTGCTAAGATTACTTCTCTTTATTGTGCTCATTCTTCATCCTGCTGTATGGAAAAAACTCCATAATAGTATGATGGACAAATACTATTATGGTTGATGCTCAAAGGAGCTATCTTCTAGTTCTATCAATCAAAACTCATTTACTATTTTAGTTATTAAATTTAATAATATTATTGATTGACTTGTCATTCAGAAACATTGTATCCTTTTACTTTTTTGTCTCTGCATGCTCTAAAAACCTTTATTTGTCTAGTTTTTTTATCTGCACTTTGACTCTTAGGATCTCTCTCCCATCATTTTAAGTCTTTTTGTCAACCGTTTCCTTATTCTTTAATTCTTCTTTGTTTTCTAGTAACTCCCAACTTAATAGCAATTACCTGCAGCTTTGTTGGGAGTAAATCAGAATTATATTTTAAAAAAAATTATAGCAATTAATTTTATTTCTGAAATATCATAAAAAACAATGAATATTTTTGCTGGAAGTTTTCTTAGCAAAGCACTTGTGTTAGGGAGTATATGCTAGTAGTATATATATATTTTTTGTATATTTTTGTTAGTTTATAGCATTTGTATATTTGTATAAAGTTACTTGTATATACAGGCTTTCCCAGAAAAGGCGTGCGGTCGCACGCCTTGTTTGTCCACGCATAGAATAAATTTTTCAGAAAACGTGACCGCGGCAATATTTCGTAGGAAAGCGGAACTTATCTACAGAGAATAAAAAATAATATTAAAAAAAGGAAACAAAGTATAAAATTGAAATTAGATGTAAGAAAAATACTTTGATAATAAAAAAAAAAATTCTTGTATCAAAAAAAAAAAAGTCCTGAACATTTTTTTCAAAGTTTTTATACTGTTTTTGTTTTCTTTTATTAGGGTTGCTATTTTCAGCTACGAAATTTGATACAAGTCAAGGAAAAGGCGACAATAAATAATAAAGTTTTCACGAAAATAAAAAGACTTAATACGTAATTTATTCACTAACTTTATTAGATAATGTATTAAAAAAACTGATTCATTATTTACGCTAGACAAATTTGATTAAATTTTTTCATTTAATTTAGTTTTTACGAAGGTTTATGCAAAGGCGATGACGTTATTCCCCAATACTTAGACAAGAAAATAAATTGCTGTTTTAATTATTAAATATATTATTTGAGATTTTAAAGATAACAAAATTTTAGTGTGAAAATAGTTTTCTCTCGACTTATTCTAAACTGATTATACTGAGTCAATGCTCGCCTTTTATTACGTTGAAATTATTCATTTGCATAATTTTGTAATTACGAAAGAAGTTAAAAAAATAATTGCATTGCTTCTGTTGTCATTGTTACGAAAACAGTTCCTTCGGGACATTATTATATATATACACTTGTTCACAAAATCAATTAATGATTGCAAAATAAGCAACCCACTCGTTTGACAATAAAGTTTTCTTTCATTTGAAAATTGAAAAAAAAACATATTTTACAAATAAATAGCAATTGTTTTTGCGCTTTCTTGCGTATCAATACATTTAAACATTTAAATGTATTTACAAAACATTTAAAAATTGATTAAAGTTCTATCGTGAATTTTAAAGTATTACTGACTGATAAAAGTCATAAACAAGTTTTACATTAAAAGGTCCTTTTATTTTCATTAAACAATAATCTTTTTCTTTTTGATTTGATTTTTTTTTGTTGATTTGATTTTTTTTATTGATTTGATTTTTCATAGCTAAAATAACTACCGCCCTAAAAAACAAAAACAAAAAAATAAATAAAATATAGGTAAATTTTTTTTTGATAATATACATTAATTTTTAAATTTGAAAGTACAAACAGATTTCTTTTATTTACTTTAAGATTGCTTGCATTTTTGCCGTATTTTCGTTTAGCTTTGTTTTAACGCAAATTCTTGAAGCGCATAATAATAAAACGTGGTCAGTTAGTCAAAAAAAATTATTCTATGCGTGGACAAACAAGACGTGCGACCGCACGCCTTTCCTGGGAAAGCCTGTATATATATATTAAATTTGTGTGTGTGTGTCTATATATATATATATATATATATATATATATATATATATATATATATATATATATATATATATATATATATATATATATATATATATATATATATATATATATATATATATATATATATATATATATATATATATATATATATATATATATATATATATATATATATATATATATATATATATATATATATATATATATATATATATAAGAAAAGTTTGTTCAATTTTGAATCGTTTTTAAAGAAAAATAATTGCTTGTGAAAGCATTTATTGGAGTGTTTCAGCTTTGTTACTTATTATGCTATTTTTTTAAAAAAAAATGTTGATCTGAAAAAAAAAGTTACATTTTATAAGGAAAAGTGACTAAACTAACTTCAAATCTCATTTGATGTATTTAACTCTTTCAATACCAGTCACCCGCTATGTGGGGTATAATATTTTTTAGTAAATGTGACCACGCTAAATATGGCATTTAATTATTTCATTTAGACTCAAAAAAGACAGTTTAGCAGTCATTTTTCTGATAAACATAACAAGGTCTCGTTTGTGAAATTCTGACAAATATTTTTTACTCTATAGCTTTTTAATTGATAATAACAATTCTCTTACAATTGTTTTTTTGTATTTTGTTTGGTAACGGAAGGGATAAAAAAGCCCCATGTAAAGAATCCTCATTATATTATGATCATTTACTTTTGTCATATTTGGCATATTCAGAAAAGATAACTGGGTTAAGTTTACTATAATGAGTGTTTATAAATTTTGTGTTACTTATTTTGACAAACATTTTATTGATGTTTTTATCTATAAACTCTCTATAGAAAAAGATTTAAAATGTAGAGGGAAAAAAAAACAGTTTATTTTAACGCCTTTCTTTTGTAGCATAAGGAAGATGATGAAAGTGTTAAACTTGAGACTACTCCATCCAGTGTTGCAGGCCAAAGGTAAGGTTAGATTTTACATAAAAAATCAGAAAAATAATGGTAGCGTTAAGTAACATTTGTTTTTATTTGTTGATTCACAATTATTTCTAGTTCTTTAAGATTTCATCTCAAAAACAAAACCATTTTAATGTTGTTTTAGTTTTGCTACTTTTTTTGTTATATATAAGTATTGTTGTTTTTTAAAGCTCATTTAATTTTATTTAATAATTTGTACATATTTGTTAAACATTGTTGAACATTAATGAAGTTGTTTATTTAATAAAATTTGTTTATTAATAACATTGTTATTAATGAAATTATCTGTAAACTATTTATTCAGGAATTTATAACCAATTAAAATAAAAGAGTAATATATAGGTATAAGGTTATAATGCATCGACCTGAGAAAAGAACTAATGGAAATTTCTTAGAGACTTGTTTTTAGTGCAATTTCATTAACAAAGATATGTTAAGGATCCCAAAGTAATATGTGTTTTTTTTTTGTTGTTGTTATAAACCTATATACCAGACAAAGCTTCATTCAATTATTTAGTCCAAATTAATGAGTCACTCAAAATAAAATGTAGTAATTCACCCAATGTTTTTAAATTCACAAAGATTTATGAAAAAAGTTGCATTTTTCTTATTTTCTTTCAAATTTGGTTTTAAAGACCACACATGGTCCTCATCGAGCACACCACTTTAGTGGCATTTGATCGTACCACTCATTACCATTATCAAATCCATCCTATAAAGTCAGAGTGGTTAGCATTATAGCCCACATCAAATTTTGAATTTTGATTTTCAATACTTCAAAGCTGGCTCAATTTACAATAAAGTTTGTGAAAAACTGCAAACTGCAGCATCAGTTTTTGTCAAATAGCATTGCGAAATCATTAACCTTACTGAGTTTTTCAGGAAAATTCTTCAAGTTGTTGAATAAGAAATTTATTTTAATATTCGTAATGAACCAAGGGAGTGAACTCAAGCTAGTTTTGAACTATGTGTAATTGTTATTTTAGATTTTTTTTAGAAGTTTATTACCTGATTCAACGAAGGAGTTCATGGTTTTGCTTCAGTTTCATTCATAGATAGTGAAAAGTTAAACTTCTTAATGAGCTTTCTAATCTGAGATCCATTATGAAAAAGCCACGTCATTTTTAATGGTCTAAAGAAGCAAATGACTTATTTTAGCAATGAGAAATTATCAAGAGAGGGGCAAATCTGAAATTGAAGTTTCAAATTTTCCACTTAGATGAGACAATATGTTTTGTGTTTTTTCAATCTTGTCAATTTTTTAAAATATAATAACATATCTAAAAAAAAATCAAAACAAAGCAGCTTGAGCAAAAAAGACTTGTAATTATTAGAAAAGTTTACTTATATTACGATCCTAAAAAACTTTATTACTTATATAGGGATGGTTAAGCGCAACAAAGTTTAAAAAAATTAGTTTTTATTAAAAAATGATTTATATGTTTCTTTGCAAATGCTAATACACTATACTAGTTTTTAAGTGCACTAAACTGCAACAACTTTTATTTTTTTTGGTTTAGTGGCTTTTGTTAAAAGCTTTTAAATTCTGTGTCAAATTATCTCATTTCAACATATTTGTTGTATCATCCATATTGCAGCCTTTTTTCATAACGCTTTAAGGTATAAAAATATCAATTTTGACTTTTTTTTACAAAATAAGCTAGTTTAGATGTCTACAAACATTGTTAAATACATATTTTTCAAAGAGTTCTGAGAAAACCTTTTTACAAAGAGTTTCTCTTGATTGACCGTTATTTCGAGTGCTGTGCATATATTTACAAAATATAACATGAATTTCGAATACAGCTTTGGTCACAAACCTGGCCCCAGCTATATTTTACCAAACCCAGTCCCAATCAAATATCAAACCCGGTTGTTTACTAGTATTTTCATACACTTTCACTCACGTTTGCTTACAACAAAACGTACTGCAACACTTTTTCTCCACTACTTCGGTTGCAATGGCTGCCAAGGGTTCCGTGTCAAATACGGTCGAATGAGCACTAACTACTTCTAACACTATTAAATTCTGTAATAATATATAGAGATACCATTTTTTGCAAAAATAAACAATTACTTTGTTTATTCAGTGCCTTCATGAGTTATTTCATTAAACCTAACTTTATGGTGTTGAAAAAACGAAATTATTTCTGTCAATTCATGATTTGTTTAAGTTTTTTATTCCCACCATTTAATTTATGTTTATCTCCAACGTTTTTTTGATTCCTCATTGATTTACAGTTACAGTTTACAAAGTTATCTTCACTATTATATTATATTATCTAATATTTTTTTTTTTTTTTTTTATTTGCATTCACTCCCAACAAGGCTGCAAGCAACCACTATTAAGTTGGGAGTTACTAGGAAAAAAAAAGAACAGAGTTATAGAGCAAGGAAACGGTTGACAGAAGACTTGAAAAGTTGAAGGTTGTATGAGTCAGGAAAACATGAAGATGGGAGAGAGTTCCAAAGGATTGAAGTGCGGGGAAAAAAACTAGATGAATAAAAGTTTTTAGAGCATGCAGGGACAGATACAGAAAACGAATGAGACTTAGCTGAATGACGAGTAAAACGAGAATGAATTTTAGTTGATGGAACTAGAGATGATAACTCCTTTGAGCAGTGACCATGATAGTATCTGTAGAAAAGAGAAAGAGATACAACTTTACGACGATGGGAAAGAGGTTCAAGCTTAGCAGATAGTCCAGGTCCAACAACATTTACAATGCGTTTTTGGACCTTGTCAAGAAGAGAAAGTGAATCGTTAGAAGAACCAGCTCAAATATGACAACAGTATTCCATACAGGGACGAATAAGAGATTTGTAGAGGTAGAGAATGGAATCAGAAGTAAGGAAATGGCGAGCACGATAAAGAGAAGCAACCTTAGCAGAAGCTAATTTAGCAATCGATTGTATATATGGTTTCCATGAAAGGTCAGTAGTAAGCGATAATCCAAGAAGACGTAAAGAGGACGACTCAGTAAGAGGATTGCCATTCATTAATATATGAATGTTGACCATATTACGGTAGTTGTTTGCAGTAAGCAATTTTGAAATTCACAAGCCACTGTGAACCCCAATCTATTACTGAAGTGAGATCAGATTCAAGATCAGCTGCTTGTTCTAGGCGATCGAAAAGAGAAGACTTTTTGTCAAGACAGGAGTATAAAGTTGAGTCATCAGCAAAAAGAGCTACTTTAGATGAAAGGTTGTCAGGAAGATCGTTTATGTAGATAAGAAACAAAACAGGGCCCAGGATGGAACCTTGGGGAACCCCAGAAGTTACTGGAAATAAAGAAGAGTGTTGGCCTTCAAGGATGACTTTAATAAACCGGTCAGAAAGAAATGATTTGATAATCTCAAAAACTTTCCCAGAAACACCATATGAAGCAAGCTTATGGAGGAGACCAGCATGCCAAACTTTGTCGAAAGCTTTACATATGTCGAGAGCAATAGCCCTAGCCTCACCGCCTCCATCTAATGCACGATAAAATCTTTCAGTTACAGCAGTTAACAAGTCGGCCGTAGAACGAGAGGATCGAAAATCGTATTGATTTTCTGACAGCAGTTTATTTGACTCAAGATGAGATGTGAGGAATTTGTTGATCAAAGACTCAAAGACCTTGCTAATAACAGAAAGAAGACTGATCGGACGATAATTGGGGGGGTCAGAATTTTCTCCAGAGTTTTTGAATATTGGAACCACAGATGCCATTTTCCTACAAGCAGGAAAACAAGACTCAGTCAAACACTTGTTAAATAGTTTAGAGAGAATTGAAGAAAGTTCTGGAGAACAATTCTGCAAGACTGTGACAGGAATGTTGTCTGGACCACAAGCTGTAGACGAGTTTTATTGAGATATGACTTTAGCAACAGAAGCTGGAGTGATTTGAATGTCTAACAATGGGTCAACCTGTTTGATTGGAATGGAAGGAAGAGAATGTCCATAAGATTCAAGAGTGGAATTAGAAGAAAAGTTCTTTGCAAACAGTTCTGCCTTATCCCTGGGAGAGGTAACAAGATCAGTCCCATGAATGAGAGATGGAATGTTAGATCTACCCTTGTTAACAATGCTGTTGAAGATTTTCCAAAAGTCTTTAGAGCCTAACTTCTGCGATAAGATGCGAGATTTAGTGAACTGAGAATAATAGAGTTTAGCATCAGAAAGCACCTTTTTACATCGATTTCTTGCAATAATAAATAGCCGTTTGTTCTCAAGAGAGTTGTTCTTTTGAAAAAGATGAAAAAAATGGTTACGATTGGATATAGCAGCCGCACAAGAAGGAGAAAACCATGGAGTAGAATGAGGCTTGACTTGAAACCGACGAGAAGGAATAAATATTATACATAATCTGGTCTCGGCTCTCACTCACACTCCCCTGAAATGGTTTATGAGAGCTATTAACGGCTCTCGCAAAAGTTTAATTTTTCTCATAAAAGTATAATTATCATTTTAAATAAAATAAAAAACACCATGTCATTTTAAAAAAATTAATTGCATAATATACTGAATAGCTTTTTAAAAAGCACGGTTGTTGCAATAAAAAATTAGAATTCAAAAAGAGTGCCGATTTAAATGAGGAGCAGCTCGCATAGTTCCCCAACTTCGTTTTAGGAGAGCTTTTCTCTGTTCTCATATCATTTATTTCCGCCGAGGCCTGTATAATTATATTACACATGTATATTACATCATCTACTTTACTAAAATATTCAAGCAGTTTACTTTCTCTTCAAGATAAAATGATATTCTAATATCTGGCAGTAATTTTTCACAAAGTCTTGAAAGTAGCTGCACTGATGATTTTTAATTCATTCTGTGAAAATTCCTACGCAATCAGTATTTCATTGTAGTTTTGATCTAATTGTTCATCTTCATCTGACAATCCATTTTCTAAACCTTCGTTATCTGGATTACTAACCTTTAATGGAAGAGGAATTTTGATACATTTTAACACAAGTCAAGCAGCTAATTGTAATTTTAAAAATTTAATTATTTTATTCTTTGTATTGAGGCCTTAATAATAATTATTGGATGTCCATAAGTAAAATACATAGTAAAGTTACTGATTTAGGACCCCTCCCCCTTGTACTCACCTGTATCCTCTAACAGCCCTCCTCCTCTTGCGTGTGTACACATTATTTATTACAAAATCATCCTCCCCCTCTTTCTCTCTCTCTTTCTCCCTTGACGCATAAGTTTTTCAAAACATTAAAAACAAAAAAAATTCTAGTTAATTCAACATATCTCTGTTACATAATATACTATTGATTTTATAAACATGTAAAACTCAATGCTTTTGTTAAAAAATACTTATGTTATTATTGCTTATGTTAGCATATCAGCAATCAAATAAGTTGAAAATATCTACTCTGCCGTGCCACATATTTTTGCCTGATCACTATTATAATTTTTATATTAACACAAATCTGTGCGAGTGAGAAATAATGAGCAGGAGATTATGCAATAACATAATAATAAAGATATAAATAATGTTATCAAATTAAAATAGTAATGGCAGTTACTAATTTTAATTACTATTGTTATTACATTCAATTTTATTTTTTTATTCATTATAATCATAGTATTTTTTTAACATTAATCAGGTCAGTTATTGTTTCTCTATGCATTATTAAAAAAAATCTATAAATAAACAGTATGTGTTAAAGAAAACAGATAAAATTTTCAGATTTAACACCTCCAAACTAATAAGAAACAATATCAATTATTTATTATTATTTGTTAGGCAAATCCTTTGTTTTCAATTATCATTTTTTACAAATTTTTTAAATAATTATATACAGTTTATGTTTAATTTTAACAATTCAATTTTAATTTTTTTTTATTTTTAGTGCAAAATTATTTAGTGTAAATCTTCCAAGTAGTTTGGGAGTTGGTAAAAGTATTGTTCTTAATATTGAGTCTGTATTTACTCATGCTTTGAGACCATTCCCAGCGAAAATTGGCCAATCAGAAAAGCAGTTAGTCATATACAAAGCCAACACCTATTTCTCTTCGCCATACAAAGTAGTTTACCAAAAAACGACAGTTAAGCTTTCTTCATCCACAATTGAAAGCTATTCCAAATTAAAGCCTTCTAACTCAGCTGATAACACTATCACTTATGGCCCATACAATGATATTAACCCATACAGCTTTCACGAAATGAAAATTCACTTTGAGAATAATTCTCCATTTCTTACTGTTAAAGATATGACACGTTGGATTGAGGTTTCACATTGGGGTAATGTAGCTATTGAAGAAACCTATCATCTTTTACACGAGGGAGCAGAGCTTAAGGTGTTATTCTTTATACTAAAAATATAAATTTTTAATAACATATTTTAACTTTTAGTAAAGATTTAATATTTAAATTTTTAGGGTCATTTTTCACGCTATGACTACCAAAGAACCCCATCTCATGCAGCTGTGAAATCTATTAAATCTGTTCTTCCTGCTGCTGCCAAAGATGTTTATTATCGTGATGAAATAGGCAATATTTCTACCAGTAATCTTTTGAACACACATGACTCTGTTGAACTCGAATTGAGACCAAGATTTCCATTGTTTGGAGGTTGGCAAACACAATACCTTATTGGCTACAATGTTGCTGTTTATGAATATCTCTTCAGAAAGGGTTCAAACTATGTCCTTAAAATGAGATTTATTGATCATGTTTTTGATGATTTTGTCATTGATAAAGTCACTGTCAAGGTTGTTCTTCCTGAAGGAGCGACAAACATTAAAGTCAAGTTTCCTTTTGAAATCAAACAAGAGAAGCAAGAACTTCATAAAACATATTTAGATACTTGTGGAAGACCTGTTTTTGTAATGAGTAAGAAAAATTTGGTAGAAAACCATATTCAAGATTTTGAGGTAAGTTAAATTTACTATTTATTAGCTTGTGTTGTTATATATAGATCATTTTTTAATTGTCTGTTTTAATTTTAAGCTTCATTACACATTTCAAAGTCATTTGTTACTACAAGAGCCAATTCTTTGTGTAGCTGCTTTCTATATTCTGTTTATCAGTGTAATATGCATTATGCGATTAGATTTCTCCATCACAAAGGTTAGTTTTTATACTTTTTTTATATTTTAAGTGCAAACGTATTTACTGCTCTCTATATCTGTGTTACATAAGTAAAAAAAAAAACATTATTTTATACCAATTAAAAAAACATATTAATCCATATTTAAGGCATGTATTCAGTGTGAAAGATTAAACTGTTTCCAGTGTTGTGTATTTTAAGAACCACACCTGAAAAAAATTATATTTTGCCAATGGTAAAAATATGAGCTTTAAGTGATGAATATTTGACATTTTATTAGCTCGTGAGTAAAATAACATTGTTAACTTACCTATGAAATAGGTATTTCTTAATAAAACTTTAATTAATACCTATTAATTAAATCACTAAATTTAATTAATAGGTATTACTTAATTAACTTTATTAAGTCTTGAATAGATTTAATGCACTTGTAATTGTCAACAAAAAAAAATTGAATTTATTTTTATTGATTTTATCTAATTTTTTTTTTTTTTTTTTTTTTCTAACTTGATAGTTTTAACATCAATGTGTTTGTTTATGTTAGCAACTATGTTCTCAGGAAATTTGTCTTGGTTAAAACAAAAAGTTTAGTTAATAAACAGCAGTTAAGTAATCAAACTTTTGTTATCATCTGATATTTTGATTTCCTAATGATTAAACCTTAGTTTAAAGCAGAATTATTAGTCCTTGGCCTTGCCTTAAGGTCAGAAATAAAGGCCTTGGGCTTGAAAATTTTGGCCTTGGCCTTAATTGTTTTGGCCTTGACATTCAAAAAAAAGCAACATAAAATTAAAAATTTCTGTGCATAACCTTGGTCTATTTTAACAACATGTGCTTTTATTGTCACAGCACTTGCTACATACAGTTTTTTTAATAATTGGCCTAAACGTAAGGCAAAAATTTAAGTCTTTGGTCTAGAATATATTTGCATAGGACTTGGCCTTGAACCTTATATTCTTGGCTTTAGCTTTGTATCTTTTGGCCTTGGTTTTGGCCTTGGCCTTGTTAACAACTCTGGTTTAAAGAGATTTAAGCAGAGCTAATTGAAGTATTTTCTTTTAATTTTTTTAATAAGTTTTATTAAATTATGTTTTATTAAAATTTTATTATTAAATGTCATTTTTTAGTTTTTTTTATAATCTTTCAATTCAATAGTTCCAACATCAACTTAATGAGTTGATTGCTTTATGAAGCAAAATTTTCCTTCAAGTACTTTTTCTTGAATTAACAACTAGTAATTTTTAAATAATTTGGTAATGTAGTTAAGTTATACAAATTATTGGATTTATATTTATGTTTTTTTATTGCAAAAACTAGAATACTTCAATATCCAGATTTTTATGAACATTTTTTTTTATGTACCAATTTCAGTTTAGCTAAAATAAAGTTAGCTTCGTATTTAAAAATATCAAACAAAACATTTTCTGATTGATTTTCAATTTAATTTTTTCATTAAAAAGGATGCTGTTAATGAATCACGTATGAAAGTTGCAAGCCTTGTTGAATCTTTATTGGCTGCCTGTGATCGTAGAACAGGACTGAACTCTTCCTTCGATTCAGCATTAGATAATTTCAAGCAAAGTAAAGATCAAGTTAGTTTTACTTCGGCGTTAAAAAAAGTTAATCACGATTATAATACTTTGTGTGCTACTATTAACAATCTTATTGCCTCTCTGTTAAAAGAAGAACCAGAATATTCTGATAAGGTATCATAGTTATACATACATATAAATAAATTTGTTATATATACAATTTTTTTTTCTGTAATTAGTTTAATATTTCTTTTTGTAATTACTTCTTAATAAAATTCTACTATTCAATACTAATTGCTTTATCCTAGCTCTCAGATATAACGAAGAAAGAGGCTGAGCGCAAAGCTTTGATTGATCAGCAAGTGGCTTTAGCAACTAAAGCTGTTAGTGGAAAGCTTAGTAAACAACAGTACACTGATAGTGAACAAATTGCTCTATCTAAGCGAGAGAAAATCACTGAAGAAATAGAAGCCACATTGGCTGCGCTTTCTTAATTGATCAAATAGATTTGTTTAAGCTTTTAATTATATTGGTTTGTTAGGTTTTTTAGAGATTATCAAATGAAAGTTTTAATTTATTTCTAAATTTTGAGTTATGTTGCAGCCGTTCATTTTTGTCTTAAGTGATCTTAGACTTGTTTGTTGTATTTTACGCCCATTTTAAAAGCAACGTGGAATTATAATATGTGGTTTTTGCGATTTAAATCATTGAAGTAAGAAATATCTTGTATTCTTTTCTAACTTTTATATGCCAATTTAATAGAAAAGGTGAATCTATACACTAAAAGTGTTTTGATTTTTCTCCTTAAATGATACTTTGACTCCTCTCTAATGATGCTTTGGATCCTTTAAAATTAGTTAACTTCAAACTTCTTAAATTGTCTAAATCGATCTTTTTTTCATTGTTTTACTGGCAAGACCCCTGAAAAATTTAAATAAAATCAAAAAAAAAAAATTCTTACACAAAAATTTTCGCTGAACGCGAATTTGAAAATGAGGTGTTAAACATTTACTTCGACAGGTAATTTTATAAATAAACTTTTCAAATAATGGGTAAATCATGCAGAGAACAAAATGCTAGACGTAAGAAAACAAGAAGATTTCACTAAAACAAGTACTAGAAATTGGCTAAAAGATTCAACTTTCTTGGTAGCACCTGTTAACGCTATTTAAAATGACCTTTTAACATTTCATTAAGGTGGAAGTCATACAAAAGGTGATTTTAAAATTATGAAAGGAAACAAAGTGTAACAAAAAAAAATTGTATATCCACAATGGAGTAAAGAACTAAAAATTTATCATTTTCTTTCCTGTTTTCAATTAAACTATAGACCTATCTAAATATATCTAGATGCATCTATAATACATTTAACTCATAGGTTTTACTTAAATCAGAATACTTAAAAATATTAATGTAATCTTTTTGCTTTGATCTGATATTTTTTTTTTTTTTTTTTTTTTTATGGTGGTATTAGCCTATAAAATGTTAAAATTTTCGAACTTTTTTTTTCAAATTTGACAAATAGACTTCAAAAATGCACACTTTTGCTATATTTATGAGTAATTTAGTGATATAAAATAAAAATCCATAATTACAATTTCAAAAGGAAGCCATTAGCAATTACATTGTAACTAGAAAACAATGCTACTTTGAAATAAAGTTGCAATATATTTTTTAAATTAACAGAGATCTCCAATAGATAGATATATATTTATATAGATTTATATATATATTTTTATAGACTTATACACACATATATATATATATATATATATATATATATATATATATATATATATATATATATATATATATATACACACACATATATATATATATATATATTGTAATATACAGTGAGCCTCAAGAGTAAGTTGACAGGCGTATATTTTGTGAAAAACTGCTGTATCGCGATCAAAAAGAAAAGTAAAATATTGCAAAACTTTCTTCGAGATACAGTTATATTTTAAAAGTATTACAAAAATAGCAAAAAACATAACTAGATAAGTTATATCACGATTTATATAATTGGCATATCCAAAAGTCTGTTGACAAGTGTTTTTTTAATATACAATCACCGGTAAGTTAATGAAATAAGCAGAATAATGGCTTAATTAAGTTAAATAATATTTTAAATAAGCATTTTAAATGTCACTTTGTGTTGAACATCATATTGACAAAATAAACTTTTTTGAGATGGCACACCGTGAAACTTCGACTGATACCAGGATTGAAATTTATCGTTTAATTGAGGAGGAAGGAAAGTCATTGAGAGAAGTAGCAAAGATATTTGGATTGAGTGCGGAAGGTGTAAGGATGATCGTTAAGCAAATAAACCAGCGAAAAACGGTAGAAAATTCAATTAGATCAGGTCGACCAAGGAAGACAACTGTAAGAGATGATAAACTGATCGTTAGATCATCGGTTGAAACGCCAAACATGAGTCCAATAGAACTTAAAAACGAATTAAATTTGGCAATTAGTCCTCAAACAATTAGAAAACGTCTCAATGATGTCGGATTATACGGTAAAGCGATGCGAAAAAAACCATTCATCTCTATAAATAATTGAACAAAGAGGCTGGCGTTTGCTACAATGCATATAAAGTTGCCACTCGAAGTCTGGAAATCTGTAATTTGGACAGACGAATGAAAATTTGAACACCAATCGACAAAGAGAAGAAGAACGGTCTTCAGAAAAAAGAATGAGGAGTTTTTAATGCAACATGTGATACCTATAGTCAAGTTTGGTGGTGGGTCGGTAATGCTGTGGGGTTCTATTTCATGGAACGACCCTGGTATTATCGAGTTGATCAATGGTAAAATGACCAAAGAAGTTTATCTCGACATCGTACAGCGAAACGTCTTTGCTTCTGCGGCAAAATTAAGGATAGAGGACGATTTTATATGGCAGGAGGATAATGATCCAAAACATACACCAAAGATCGTCAAAGATTGGTTCGTTGATCATGAAATTTTCAAGTTCGATTGGCCTGCTCAATCGTCAGATTTAAATATAATCAAAAATATATATGGGAATTCTTGGATAGAACTATTCGTCAAAACAAAAACCAAAAAATGACATGTTTACAATAATCAAATGTCATTGGGAAGAAATTGACACTAATTTCATTCAGAAATTAGTACTTTCGATACGGAAATTAGTACTTTCGATACCGAAACACTTGCAAGCTGTTATCGATGTTGAAGGTGGACCAACAAAATATTAAATGGATTGCGTTTGCACCAAAATAACAAAACCATTTTGTTTAAAATTGTGTTCTTGTCGCTGTCAACAAACTTTTGAGCCGCACCTTTTTGCGTTTTACCTAATTTTTTATCGTTCTAACGTTAATCGACTGCTGTTCTATTTTTATTTCAAACATTCTTTTTGTTTTCTATTAAACTAAATACTTTCTACCCTTAAATATCTTCTCAATAATAAAATAATGCCTAAATATTCACTTTTTTTAAATGTCAACTGACTTTTGAGTGTCACTGTATTTAAAAAAATATATTACAACAATGTACTTTGAAAAAAAATCTTTGTATAAGTCATTTCATTGCCAAATAAGAAAGATTTTCTTTGAATTATTAGAAATCCATTAGATGACAGAACACTACAGTGGTTATCTAAAACGCATCTCTAGAACTGCCATATATTGTTAACTGGTAAATGATTATAATGGTAATACAAGTTTATTATTATTATAATTACTTTTGTTATTATTATTATTATTATTTCCTTTATAAATAAGTATAATATTTAGATATTTATGAGGATTCACATTAACCCACAAAAAATTTTATTAATGGAGTCCATATAAGATGTAGAAACTGCAGCATACGCAAATTCCTGAGATTTTGCACAATAGATATAATCAAAAGGTTGATTGTTTCATTTGGCAGCATTTTCTAATTAATCTTAGCCAAATGTCTTCAAGATTCCTTGCAGGTTGGTTTGAACATGGGCGCTTGTTACATATGATTGCTGCATGTTTCTCTCGAGAGCTAGAGATATTGCAAAACAAAGTCCTAGTATAATCCGTATGCAAAAAGACTAAGGCAAGGTAAGTTTTCCATATTAAATCAGGAAGGATACCATATGATGCCAGGCGATAAATAGCAGAAATTCCAACGCAGCATTTATGATGGATATTTTTGAAGTAAGTGTTCTATTTTCATGATCTCTTGATTGAAGTGAGTATTCTATTTTCATGATCTCATGAATTTACATGATTTCATCGTCATTTTAAAATGTTCAACAAGTTTGAGTAAGGATTGCGTTATAAATATTTAAATATTGGAAAAATTCTGGAACCTTCTGAGGTGAAATTAATCAATTAAATTATTGATAAATAAATCAATCAATTAATTAACCTAACAATACAGCAAATTGAAACAATAGCCACTGTCACCACACAATGACCAAAGCTTTTACCCAAATCTAATCGGTTTCCTACGATTAGATTTGCACAGCTTTTGCACAACGTTTACAATACAGAACAGGTTTCCAACTCTTGACAAACGTTATAAAACTTTTCAT